CAAAGCCTCAGTGGCCAGCAGGATCACTGGTTTCCTGGCAATGCAGCTACATAAAACAGGCCACCTCTGGGGCCAGCATGCCTGTCTCCTGCACCCTGTTGCAGTTCTTAGGGAACTCTCTTGCTTCCATGCTCACATACACATGTTCATGAATACATAGCCACCCCACCAGCTCCCAGCTCCAGGTCCAGCCTGTGCTTTGTGGTGTGACTAAGGCAATTATCTCAGAACCATGAACATTACTGTTCAGAGAGCAATCCAAAGAGCTCGCATTTTCTGCGGGTAGCAGGACCACATCTCACCTTGCAGTGATCAGCAGCAGAGCTGACCTCTCACTTGAGGGACAATCAGAAACATGAATGGAAGCTGTACATTTACAAGCAGTTCTGTGCAACCCGAAGTGACAAATATGATCTCTGTATCTGTGGCATTTATCTTCCTTTAATTAAAGCAGGAAAATTTTGCCATGGGGATTGCAGTATTTGAGAAGGCAAATTCTTTTACCCAGGCAAAAAGTTACTATTTAATTGTAGGAGATGTGTGTATTTCTCACAAACATATAAAATTTAGCCAAATTTACAGCAGATAACTAATGATCATTGTAAACATGACACAGAAACAATGGGGGTCGCTGGAAACTAAATGCAACTTTATAATACTGTTCAAAAAAGAAAAGGATTGGTGAATCGTTTCATAACGAAGGCAAAAGACATTTTAAATATTTATTTTCAGACATTTGAGGCTTGTGGGAAGCTAAAAGTTTGAAATGGTTAAAAATCCTGGGTTCAGGTAATATTAATAAATTTGCCCACTCCTGAGCCTTGCCTGATTCACTTACCTTCAGGTGTCTTTTTGTAGCAACAGTGACCAGCAGCTTATCTTTTAGCATGTTATCTTCATCTGCATATTGCTTTTAGCATTCTGAGAAACATTCCATATCTCTTATTTTCTGTTTTAGGAACAAGGCTCTACTGTAGAATATCTCCTGCCTAAACATATGTCTCCAAGTGTGCTTACTTCCTGTCTTTCCTTGTCTTTTACAACGCAAGACCATCTTGTGATGATTTGTCTAGAAATAGTACTTACCCAGGCTAGGATTGGAAAGCCCCCAGTTTCTCTACATTTATGGAAGGTTCCAAAGTTGATCTCCGTTTAGGAGTGGAAAACAGAGAGGGTACCCCAGGCTAACTTGAATCATCTTCAAGGGTCATACTGCCAACACTTCACCTTGGTTTTGAGCTCACTTTCCTGATGTAGCTCAGAGGCAAGGCCTGACAATCTGCCCATCTTAAATTTCCTTGTAGCCACATTGGGGTAAGATCATTCTAGCTCTTAAATCAGAAGTGCTGTGCCTGTCCTTCTGCGTAGCTGCGCAGCTTCGCTCCAGAGAGATTTGCATTTCTGCTTGGGGTCGTGGGATCACAAGTGTACAGTATGAAAACGCGTTATGAGGTTCTGGTAGTTATCAATCTTCCTGATCAGGAATCAGCACTAAGCATAGAAGGTGAGCTCCATGATGAGAGAGAATTTGTTCACTCGTTTTGCTCACTGGTCCATCCCAAGCCCCTGGAATAGAGCCTGTTACATAATAGGCACTCAATCATTGGCTGAATAAGTAGCTGTACAATACTAGATGAAATGCCAAGTGTAGTCAGATTTGAAGCTAATCATCATTGGTCTGGACCACTTTATGGCTTTTATTTTCCTGAGCACATTCTTTGGTCACCTTTACATGAAAGAGGATGCTGCCAACTCTCCACTAATAGGACGTGCTTCCTGGTGCTCTTTTGGCCCTGGGAATGGATTGATTTTTCTAAACCATCTGCAACCTGCACTTGGGTTCCCTTGTGAATGCTGTGACTCACATAAAACTTTGACTTTATTAGTACTTTAAAAAAAAACTTTTTAAAAATTTCTCACGAATTTGCTAATTAGATTCAGGAAGATCTTACCACATTTACCTAGCACTCAAGACCTCCCACCATTTGCCTCTGTCTATCTCTGAGAGGCAAGGCTAGAGTATACACCAGTTTCCTCATCTGGAAAATGAAAGCATTTTCTCAGACATGTGGTGGGTGGTCCACCCTCTTGTCTGGAATACCCTCACTTGCCTTGCTGCTGGCTCAGTCCACCAGCTGCTTCAAGGCCTGGATCTTGCAAGATGCTTCAAATGGTTCTCCTCACCTCTAACTATGATTTCTCTTTTCAGAGAAACCCAGAGAATTCTCGTCCTCATTCTTTGTAAAATGTAGTGGGCTCCAGACCTGAATTTAGTTCCTGCCTTACCACTTCCCAGCTCTGCAGCCCTGGGGAAAATTACATAAGCTCTCCCAGCCCCCGTTTTCTCATCTATAAAACAGAAATAATAATACCTCAAGGATGTTTTAAGAATTAAAGTTTTGCAATGCAAAATGTTCAGCACAGTGCCTATCTGCAGTTAACATTTCATGAGTATTAGTTTTGTTGTCATTTTAATTTTGTTTATTATATACCTTCTGAATACATATGTCCTTTCTATATTAAAGACTTGAGGGCTGGCTGCAAATGTTTTTATATCCGTCTTAATTGAAATTTTTATTGAGCTAATTGTACACTCAGATGCAATTGTAAGAAATAATACAGAGAGATGGCCATACACTTTGCCCAGGTTCCCCAATGGTAACATGTTGCCAAACTATAGTATAATATCACAACCAGGATATTGACACTGATACAGTCTACTGATCTTATTCAGATTTCTCCAGTTTTGCTTG